AAGGAGAGTGAGGGAGCCAGAGGGCGAGAACCAGGTTCGGTCAAGGAGAGTGAGGGAGCCAGAGGGCGAGAACCAGGTTCGGTCAAGGAGAGTGAGGGAGCCAGAGGGCGAGAACCAGGTTCGGTCAAGGAGAGTGAGGGAGCCAGAGGGCTGTAAGCGGGAAGGGTTAGAAAGGATAGGACTGTGGAATAGGAATCAATTGTTCAGGAAGTAGCTAGTCGTTCCCGACTCTAGGGGGCGGTGCTCATCTCCGTTTCAAAGCCAGCGCTGTCCAAAGATGTCTCCGTGGTCATGTGGCCGGCATGACTCAATGCAGAAGGAGCACAGAAAGCTGTTGGTGGTCCCTATTTTTTCTCCTTGCATTTTTGACGGGCTTTCGAAAAGAAAGAAGGAAGGAAGGAAGGAAGGAAGGAAGGAAGGAAGGAAGGAAGGAAAGGAGGGAGGGAGAGAGGCAGGGAAGCAGGGAGGACGGGCCCAGGAAGCTATTTATTTCTTTAAATATCCATGCGATGTTGAAGAGGAAAAGGCCAGGATTCTCTTTTACATGTGTACTAGTCATTCTTGACTCTAGGGGGCGGTGCTCATCTGTTTCAAAGCCGAAGAGCCAGCGCTGTCCAAAGATGTCTCCGTGGTCATGTGGCCGGCATGACTCAATGCAGAAGGAGCACAGAAAGCTGTTGGTGGTCCCTATTTTTTCTCCTTGCATTTTTGACGGGCTTTCGAAAAGAAAGAAGGAAGGAAGGAAGGAAGGAAGGAAGGAAGGAAGGAAGGAAGGAAGGAAAGGAGGGAGGGAGAGAGGCAGGGAAGCAGGGAGGACGGGCCCAGGAAGCTATTTATTTCTTTAAATATCCATGCGATGTTGAAAAGGAAAAGGAAAGGTTTCTCTTGTACATGTGTACTAGTCATTCTTGACTCTAGGGGGCGGTGCTCATCTGTTTCAAAGCCGAAGAGCCAGCGCTGTCCAAAGACGTCTCCATGGTTATGTGGCCGGCATGACTCAACGCCAAAGGCCCATGGAACGCTGTTCCCCCCAAAGGTGGTCCTTATTTTTCTACATTTTCTGCATTTTTTATGTGCTTTCGAACTGCTAGGTTGGCAGAAGTTGGGACAAGGAACGGGAGCTCACTCCGTTATGCAGCGCTAGGGATTCGAACCGCCGAACTGCCGACCTCTCTGATCGACAAGCTCAGCATCTTAGCTCCTGAGCCACCGCACCCCTTTTAGGAAGTAGGTAGTGATTCCTTTTTTAAAAATGCTGGCTGGGGAATTCTGGGAGTTGAAGTCCTCCCATCTCAAAGCTGACAAGGATGAGGAAACCTGGCTCCAGCCCATAGACCAGCGGTGTCAAGGCCCAGGGGCCAGATCCGGACTGCGGGGTGCTTAGATCTCTCTTGCGTGGCTGAAAACGGAGCTCGGGTGGGCGAGGGGGACGACGGATGTGCGCCCCACCCTCCACCCCCAAGCTCCATTTTTGCTGGCAGAGGGCTCTCAAAACAAACTAAAAACAAAATGAAAGGAGAAATTTCTCCCCCTTTTGTGTTGGAACACGTAAGAAGGGACAGAAAAGGTGGAAGAGAAAGAGGAAAGACAAAAAAAGGGAAGATGGGAAGGAAGGAAGATAGGCGGGAAGGGAGAAGAGAAGGAAAGAAGATAGGGAGAAAGGAAGGAAGGATGGAAGGAAGATAGGAAGGATGGAAGGAAGGAAGGAAGGAAGGAAGGAAGGAAGGAAGGATGGAAGGAAGGAAGGGAGAAGAGAAGGAAGGAAGATAGGAAGAAAGGTAGGAAGATAGGAAGGAAGAATGGAAGGAAGAGGAAGGAAGGAAGATAGGAAGGAAGGGAGAAGAGAAGGAAGGAAGATAGGAAGGAAGGTAGGAAGGAAGGAAGATAGGAAGGGAGAAGAGAAGGAAGGAAGATAGGAAGGATGGAAGGAAGGATGGAAGGAAGGAAGGGAGAAGAGAAGGAAGGAAGATAGGAAGAAAGGTAGGAAGATAGGAAGGAAGAATGGAAGGAAGAGGAAGGAAGGAAGATAGGAAGGAAGGGAGAAGAGAAGGAAGGAAGATAGGAAGGAAGGGAGGAAGGAAGGAAGATAGGAAGGGAGAAGAGAAGGAAGGAAGATAGGAAGGAAGGGAGGAAGGAA